GTCCTTTCCCGCCGGGCAGCTCCCAGCCGCTCCTCCCCACGCCTGCAGCGGTGCCTGGGGTTGTATATATATCACAAAGGACAGGTTTTTGTGTACCCACTACCATTCCCTCCCTAACAGGCTGATAGGCAGCATTTTGGCCCCTCTGGCAGACAAATCTAAGTTAATTATCCTGCTGTTCCATGGCTCCAAAAAAACAGCTTGTAGCACGGCTGCTAAATCACCTACTTTGCTGGAGACTTATTTGTTACAAAACTGTGCCGTGTTGTTGCAAGCATAACTCGATTCGACACCAATAGGTGATGAAGTCCTTGTATTACAGAGCCAACTCTTGTGCCCCAAAGGACACGACTGCTGTTTGATGCTTCACATCTACCCAATACACTTCCTCCAGACTGTTACTGATCACACCATGTATATGAATCAATGCCATTCCTTCCACCAGTCATTTTTCCAATATTTCCTTTTTTTTTTTTTTTTACATGAGGTCAAAAATAGAGTAAATTGTATAAACCTGCAGTTTAATTAAGGGCAAGAAATCAACCCAAACTGTGAATCCGAACATTTTGATTTTACGGCAGGCTGTATCACTGCCTAGAGGAACCGATCCTAACAAGGGATGCATAATGAACTTTTTTTATTGGCGGCTGAAACGCTGGAAGCCTCTGGGAACAGAAGGAATGCTTGCAGCGCTTGCCATCTTCAGAACTACCTGACAGCATCTCTGTTTCATGACAAAGGAAAAGACATGCTACCGGACCATTTTGTACAGCGCAAGCAGCAATCAAGCAACCCCACCAAATAATATTCTGGCCACTTTTAACAGCCCTGAAATTCTGATTTCGAATACGTGGTAACAGAAAAATGAACAACTACAATCCAGACCAGGCATTTCTAGAGAAGAGAATCTCGCTCTTCCACAGGCCACCATCTCGGTCTCATTACAGACTTCACTCCTCGCTGCTCTAAGCATTGACGACGCGCAGTTCCATCATTTACGCTAACACTCATTTATGCAGTAGATAATCCGTTCATAATCTTTTACCGAACACTTTGTAGAGTCTGTAGCCTCTTCTGGCTTCTTTCCAGTTCCAATTTTCGTTTTTCAATCTTGGCTTCCAAATTGGCTTCATCCAAAGCCACATTATTCAACATGTCTTTAGTCTTTTGGACTTCTTCCTAAAAAAGAAGGATGCGTGGTTTGCACTGGAATAATTAGAACTATCTTTCAGATGCTGACCGTTCTTCTGTACAATCTCACATCTCAGGTTATCAAATAACTTTATAACAACGAGCTAGAATATAAACTGGCCGGGCGATGCAAAAGTCCTTTGTGGCCAGGAGAATGAACTAACTGGACATTTACAAATTTTAACTACCTGATTTTTTTTCCCAGGCATTCTTAAAGAAGAAAAAAACCCCACAACTTGCCCTGGGCTTTAACTTTATTTTTCCTTCTCACTGAAAAAGCAGTAAAAGATAGGAAGAAAAAAAGCTTCCTCAAAAAAATCTGACGGGATACATAAAGACATCTCTCGATGTGTAAGCACCTGCATAAACACAGGTGAGAAATGCATTTATTTCTTGGTACTATTTTAGAGAATTTTTAGGCTTCCATCAATTTTTTTTTTCTTCAAGATAAAGGTCACTTTTGTAAAGAACGTACTCTGAATATCTTCATCCTTTCCTAAGCCTTGCTTTATCCATCTTTTCAAAATCTGGGAAGCATCCTGAACATTACAACATGCACTACAGGAATCAAGAGAGGGCATGGGAATATTCCAGCTTATTAAAATGAGCTGAGTACATTCAGTGTGCTCGTGCTCAGGAAACCATGAGCAGCTTTGGAGTGAGCGAGAGAGGACTTCACGCTTGCTGAAATTCCAGCAGTAACTGGTAGGTCCTGCTGAGCTATACTTTCGTTATAGTTATGGTCATTTCGTTAACTGGTCCAGAACTAAACCAGCTGAGCTACGTGTTATTGATATTTCCCAAGAAGCCAATTGCTCTCCTACGCTGCTGTCAGTTTATTAGCACTACTGCCTAGAATAGCAATGCAAATTAACAACATTCAGAATTCATATAGACTGCGGGTAGGAGCAGAACCATAAGGAAAGATCGCCCGGAGTATCTATTGATTATGCATTGGCTGTTTAAATCTCAAACTCCACTCCTTGTAATTATACAATTGGATTGGCTACAGTTTGCAGTTAAATAACTTATAGTAATCACTAGGATTTAATTAACTACCGTACTTGCACAGTGGCTGTGAGTGCAGCTAATGGTTCAGAAATAGAGGAACCCAAGCACTGGAGCAAGGACAGTGTTGCCAAGACAGCGACAGACAAACGGCCCTCTGAAATGAGAGCCACAACGATGCGCTGGCATGGCACTAATCAGCACAGTGCCAGTTCTTCTCGCCCCTTGGCCAGTTCAACCATCCTGCTTCCAGAGCCCAACTTCGCAGCTCCTGAGGTACCAGCATATTTTGAGTTACCAAGTACACCCCTTGCAGTCCTGACTCTGCAAAGTTTACGCAGCTTAGACAACGTAGGTGGGATCACAGAATCATAGAAAGGCTTGGGTTGGAAAGGGCCTTAAAGATCATCTAGTTCCAACCCCCCCCTGCCACGGGCAGGGCCAGCTCTCACTAGACAAGGTTGCTCCAAGCCCCATCCAACCTGGCCTTGAACATTTCCAGGGAGGGGGCATCCACAACTTCTCTGGGCAACCTGTGCCAGTGCCTCACCACCCTCATGGTAAAGAACTTCTTCCTTTTATCTAATCTAAATCTACCCTCTTTCAGTTTATAGCCATTACCCCTTGTCCTGTCGCTATGCTCCCTTGTAAAAAGTCCCTCTCCAGCTTTCCTGTAGGCCCCTTTAGGTACTGGAAGGCCGCAACGAGGTCTCCCCGGAGCCTTCTCTTCTCCAGGCTCAACAACCCCAACTCCTTCAGCCTGTCCTCAAAGGAGAGGTGCTCCAGCCCACTGATCATCTCTGTGGCCCTCCTCTGGACTCGCTCCAGCAGGACCATGTAGATTTCTGTGCTGATTTAAGCAATTTTTATCCCTCTGTAGAGCTTCGGGGCTACTACTGAGCTCCTAACAGTGGCAGGGAATATGACTAAAATGTGTTTTCTCCCAAGGGAGGCCAAGTGCAGTTCTTTGATGCATCAACTGGAGGAATGTTTCTGCCTATTGAACCAACACGGTTACACAGTGCAACAGTCTGACAGCAGCGGGTCTTAACATGTTCTCCTAGGTGCTGCTTAACATCATTTACCTTTTCTGCTGCAGGCTGTGATTTCTGACTGCCAGCTCACAACCATCACTGGGCCGACACCTCACTCACTCCGCCAGGAAGGCTATCCGTTTCAATTAACACGCTTGTTCGCCTTGAACACAACAGATTTCCCAAATAAACCCTAAGGATCATCAGTGACTGCATTCATTACGATGACACAGGGAGTCATCACAGGCTGATCTCTGCCTTGATGAACTTCTGTTCGCACATCTGATGTTACCTAAAGACCAAAGTCTGCATTAGCCATTAACTGAAGTTCAACAGTAGCTATTAACTAACCAGATGCAGCACTACTTGGTCCAGTCAGCTGAAGGTGATGCGTGCTTTGGCACTCTTAACCCTAGGCTGTTCATGAAAAGAGCTATGTTCTTCTTGCAGGAGAGGAATGATAATTTTGCAATTAAATAAATATCATTTTGCTTACCAGAACACAGTCAATGGCAACTTTCATCATCTTCTCAGCCTCATTTATCTCCAAAGGTCTGGCAATAGATTCTGTTCTTGCTTCCTATGAAATAAAAATACACCAATATATTTAAACACTGCACAAAGGAACTAATATATGCAGAACTGAGGGTGGTCAAGCAACAACGATGTGATCATCTGCATAATAAATGGAGTAGGATTTAGTATTTATTCACCGAGGTTCAGATGATTTAAAGAACAGGAGATGATGAAAAAGTCAGCTAAGTGAGGCTGAGATTAACACAGAGCAATTAAGGTATCTTTTCAAAACAAGATAAGTGCTACTGTCTGAACTGCAAGTATTCTTGAATGCGGGTTTTTGGAAACTGCACTGGTTATTACATGTGGAGCAAGGTATGCAACACAGCACAGAAGATTTCATCATCTTTACAACACGACCCATGCAAACAATAGTGCCGGTAGATGAGCACAGTGCCACACAAATTTTGCAGCAACAAGCACCATGAACCCATCTAACTCCACCAGGCAGCTGGGACTCAGCAGGTGCCTCCTACGCCCATATGAAAATCAGATGTCTGGGCTTCTCCAATCCTGATAACCAAGTGGTTCAGACTCCTCAAAAAACCCCCAGCGATCCTTGTTTAGATTCCAAAGGATGAAAAAACCTCTTCCGCTCTCAGCTGTTTTGGGGACAGATGGGCTTAGGGGCATTCAGCGTGCATTTGTTTGTATGATGTCTTACAACACTGACCTGGTCGTTATATGAAAACTCTGGATTACTTGTTTGCTGCTGGGAGGAGAGGAGGGAGATTTTTCCAGCTGAATGTCCTTAAAAAATCATCTTATGTTGGCAAACCATTTGGTAACAGGTGGATAAAGATGGAAATAGCATCTCTCTAGAGAACATCTGACTAAGAATCTAAAAATGCTTTATACACATCGCAACAGGCTGTACCCAGCCTACTACAAGATAAATGCTGGAAGCAGATACAATTCCTTTGTCAAGTTCCCATGCCAGACACTCCAGGTTGTGTAGGCAAGGACCAGCGGAGGCAGCCTCGCTCCCTCCCCAGCAACTCAAGTTCAGGGAGCTGCATGGAGAACCCAATCAGGGAGCTCATCCAGCCAAAAAATCAGCTTTTTGTGCTGAGCTTATTCCTCTGCTGGATCAGCTCCCCGAACGAGCCTGCCACATGCTGCACGAAGGCTTTTTTTCTGGCACAAGAAAAGAAGTAGAAAAAATATTATGTTGGGGATAGTGACAGGAGCTGTCTGTTAGTGGCAGTGACAGCTTACGCTGCCTTAAGCGCCTGCGAACATTCCCCTGTCCACACAGAAACACAAGCTCCAAGCAGCAGCAAGTTAATTTGGATGAAAATAAGATACAAAGAGTCTGCGCACTACATATTCCTGAATAACTCCACAGGTAGACACTTTTGGAGGAAGACTGGATGAGCAGAATGTAGCTCAGCAGTATTCTGAGAACATTATGCATTTAACAAGCTCACCAAAATGCCTGTTTATTTGTGAAGACCTTGCCTGAACTGAAACGGCAGCCGGGATCAGGCTGGTGAAGACGCTGCCCTGCCAACTGTACTCGGTTCTTCCGATGGCAACAGCGAGATCTCTGCTACAGAGAGAACATATTTCAAACAAAATACTTTATCACTCAGCAGGGGGAAGGAAATTATTTTCCTCCCCATTTTCAAAGGAGATAAAAGAAACAGCAAGGACCTTAGTTTTTAATTATAAGCAACTCCCTTACCAATTTCCTTTCAGCAGCCTGGGAAAACACCCACAGAACAAGCGCAAGTCACCGCAGCGTGTGTTGGGTCAGGGTAACTGATGGGTTTTAGATCTACTTCTGAGGATCTACCCTTTTCAGCTGGAATAACTTATACAAGTCTAATGCCTTTTCTTCTTCTACCTTCCCTCTACTACCCATGGAAATTTCACGTACAGACCACAGGCTTCGTGCAGACATCCACATAATTTTCTAGAACAAGGTTCAGTCCTTCAGTCACACCTGCTTGGAAAAATGTGTAGGCCTGGGGAGAGTAGTGTAAAAGCAGAAATTTGTATTTTCAGACTGGTGAATCAGGGCTAAACTGGAAAAGGAGGAGGTCAGGACAATTAACCGCCTCGCACCCCAACAGACCGAGAGGAGATTCCAAGTGGACCATGACAGCTTCCGTTACAGTGGACCATTATATTAATATATAACGGAAATATATTTGAAAAATAAATATATGTTGAGGGTACCAAAGCTGTTGACAAATTTTGAATGGATGTTTGTAACAGCTTCCCCAGGTATCCGTCACTGGGCCATTTCTTGTTATCCTATGACAATTTGCAAAGAGAAGACTTATTTTCAATATCTCTTGTCAGGAAAGACCCTGCAACTGGCCATACAGAAGAGGATTAAAAGGAAGGCAGATCACATTAGAAAAATAAATACCCCATGAAGATTATGAAGACATTAGGAAAAACATTTACTTTAAAATACCAGAGTTGGTCAATTTAAACATTGTTAAGCCATCAGCAAATTAAAGAAAATGAATTTAACAAAACCACTTTAACTATCTCTGACTCCCACATGAGCAAATAAAGCACATTTTTCCTCCAGCCCGCCTCATCCTCACTAGTATTTCTTACCCAATATAATATATGCAGTAACATGGCAACTGAGATTTTTAAAACCTGGCTTTACCCAAAGGCTCTTCTATTCGTGCTTAAATCTGTGGATACAAATAGGCTGTATCCTTGAAGGCAAAACCAATTTTCTAAATTTGTCCAAATACCAGGTATTGCGTTGCCCCTGGCTGTACAATTCCTTGTGCTCAAGAAAAGTGTGCAAATGAAACTGAGCTGAAAAATAGGGCTTCATTCATTTTCTTTTAAAGTCATGTACTCTTTGCAATTAGGTGTACTAATCAGAATACACATTATAATACTCAAGAGGTTTCCTTTAAATTAACCATTAAAAATAGAGTTCTCGGGAGAGATGGAAAATATAGAAAAAATTATCAAGGCAAGAGGAGGTAAGCAGCAGAACAATTTAGGACTATGCCTGGTAATTACAACTGGAGGAAGAAAAACCCACATGCAAAAATAGAGAGGTATTCATGAAGAAGCTGATTGTTTACCATTTACCAGCGCTTTCTGTTCAAAGTGTCCGAGAGCTCCCTGGCTATAGTTTTACATGATAAATACTAATTAAAAATCAGGGAAGCCAAGTGTAAAATTATTTTTGATGAACTAAAGCTGACAATTATTAAAGAAAACACACGAAGGCACACAAGAGACATCATTTGCTGGCATTATTTATCCTCCCTGGTTGGCCTAATATTTGGTGCTGCATGGAAGGGCTGAGACTTTAATTCTTCAAGTTTTGAATCTCACTTTGGGCAAAGCCAATTGGAAGTACTAACAAATCAGTTGGCTGGTTGAGACTTGAAACCTCCGTTTTCTTTGGAAATGAGAATTTCATTACAAAGTAAGAAAGATTTCTAATCAAAGACTAGCTGGCTGCCCAATCAAGCAGAACAGAGCACAGCCTGGCAGGACGTTCCCCACAGGCCATGGAAAGTTAGCACTGAAGCCAGCTCTGCCCAAATTGCACCAGTTTTGGCATCAAAAGTGAAGATAAATTTCCCTAGAGCAAAGCTGTACTGCAGTCGTGTCAGGAAATAACACCGATCTTAAAGCCTTCAAAACTCCATCTGTCTAAAGAATTTGCTCGTCTCAAATCTGCATCCCCGCTGAGCGATGCTCCCCTGGGTCAAACACCAGCGAGGGAGAAGGTCACAGCAGATCTTCAGGGCAGAAGCCCGAGGTTCTGTCCACAGGAATCAGATCAGCAGCCAGCCTTCTGGAAGAGGCAACCAGCTGCGGTTCTGGCCATTTGCTGCTGCAACCACTTCTTGGTCTCTTCTCCCCAGTAACAAGCGATGGGACGAGGGGAAACGGCCTCAAGCTGCACCAGGGGAGATTTAGGTTGGATATTAGGAAAAAATTCTTCCCGGAGAGAGCGGTCAGGCCCTGGCCCAGGCTGCCCAGGGCAGGGGTGCAATCACAGGTGGGACTGAGTTGGGTTAACGGTTGGACTCAATGATCTCAGAGGTCCTTTCCAACCTTAACGATTCTGTGATTATAAGTCAGCCTGACACAGCACCACAAGTTACCATGATTCTCGCAACACTCAGTTTAGTGTCACACTACATCTTCTTTCTGCCAAAAGATAACAAAGCAACTGGTTCACCTAACCAGGACTTCTACCTTGCTCAGCAACAAAGCATCCTGTAGGATACAAACACAGACCTAGTAACCTTATCAAACCCTCTTGCAGCTTCACTGCCAAACATCCAGCTAAACATAAAAAGGCCGGTTGAAATATAAAATGCAGAAAAGCAGCCCAGGACTTGCCTTTCCTGTCACTAAAGACCTGTCCCACAAAGCTCTGCAGCCTTAAGTTTCCTGGATGTGGAAACACGTGGATCTCTCTGCCTCGCCAGGATCATCAGGGAATATCTATCTTTTATGGAAAGTATAGTAACTTTTAGGGTATGTACCCAATCTCCAAAATACATGGTAACATGCAGGCAGCTCCGCTGCCTGAACAAACATCTCCACCGTCACCTTCCATGTATGCCCTAAGTCCTGTATTACATTTGCCAGCCCTCTTTGAACGTCTTGGACACCCTCAGACATCTGAAGTGAGACTAGATGCCTATACTGCATGTGTATTGCAGATTTAAAAAGCACAGTATGGCTGTGTCATCTTCCTGGCTGGGGGGGAAAAAAAAAAAAAAGGCGACTCACCACCACCAAAAAAACCCCCCAAACAATCAATCAAAAAAACCAGATAAAAGCTCCTGAAAGTTTGGATTTCAGCCCACTTGCATGTCAAATATCATAGAATCACAGAATCGTTAAGGTTGGAAAAGACCCTTAAGATCATCGAGTCCAACCGTTAACCTATCGCTGCCAAGCCCACCACTAAACCATGTCCTCAAGACGAGAAATATTCTATACTGACAATTAAAATTGTTGAGAAGACAAAACTCTCCAAATGCATCAAGA